GATTGGCTGCCAGAGCAGGTCCAACTATGTTTACAATTCGTTTTTGCACCTTGTCTAAAAGAGAAAGAGCATCATTAGAAGATCCGCCCCAGATGTGGCAACAGTATTCCATACAGGGACGGATTTGAGATTTATAGAGATAGAGAATAGAATCTGGGGTAAGAAAGTGTCGAGCTCGATAAAGAGATGCAACTTTAGCAGATGCTAATTTTGCAATGGATTTGATATACGGTTTAAAAGAAAGATCAGAAGTAAGAGTTAATCCTAGAAGATGAATGGTAGATGACATTACCATTCATAAATATAGGAAGATCTAAATTATTACGATAACAATTGGCCGAATAAAATTGAGTTTTATCTGAATTAAAGTTCACCAGCCACTGCGAGCCCCATGCTGTAGCAGAAGTGAGATCCTTTTCAAGCTCAGATACCCCCTCCAAGCAATCAGAGAGTGTAGGCTTCTTATCATGACAAGAGTAAATGGTAGTGTCGTCAGCGAATAATGCCACCTTAGATGTGAGAATATCTGGAAGATTGTTAATGTAAATTAAAAAGAGTATAGGGCCAAGGATTGAACCTTGAGGAACCCCTGAAGTTACAGGATGTGAAGAAGAGTGTTGTCCATCGAGGACAACTTTTATACTACGATTGGAAAGAAAGGACTCAATAATCTTAAAGACATTACCAGCTACACCATAAGAAGAAAGCTTATGGAGAAGACCAGCATGCCAAACTTTATCAAAAGCTTTAGAAATGTCAAGTGCGATAGCCTTAACCTCTCCACCTCTATCTAATGCACGGTAAAACCTATCGGTTATTACTGTTAGCACATCAGCTGTAGAACGAGAAGACCGAAATCCATATTGATGATCAATGATGATTCAAGATGAGAGATTAAGTGTTTGTTGATTAAAGATTCAAAAACCTTGCTTATGACAGGAAGAAGACTTTTTGAAAATAGGGATAACAGATGCTGCTTTCCAGCATGATGGAAAACAAGACTCTGATAAACACTTGTTAAATAGTTTAGAAAGTATGGATGAAAGCTCCGGAGAACACCTCTGCAAGACTACAACAGGAATGTTGTCAGGACCACAAGCTGTTGAAGAGTCTAAGCAGGAAATTACTTTAGATACAGAAGCTGAAGTGATGCGAATGTCAAGCAAGGGATCAACCTGTTTGACGGCTATGTCAGGTAAAACGCAACTAGTGGAATCAAGTGATGATATTGATGAAAAGTTCTTAGCAAACAATTCAGCTTTGTCTTTAGGTGAGGTGACAAAGTCTGAACCATACAAAAGAGAAGGAATAACAGATTTGCCCTTATTATTGATACTGTTAAAGATTCTCCAGAAGTCTCGAGAGTCTAATTTTTGTGATGAGATACGAGATTTAATGACCTGGGAATATCGAGCTTTGGCGTCAGACAAAACCTTCTTACAATGGTTTCTGGCGATGGTGAACAGATGTCTGTTTTCTGGAGAATTGTTTTGCTGATAGATATGGAAGTAACGGTTTCGATTAGAAATTGCTGCAGCGCAATGTGAGGAAAACCAAGGAGAAGAGTGAGGCTTGACCTGGAATCGTCGAGAGGGAATAAAAGATTCCATGCCAGCCTGAATCCACGAAGTTATGTAAGAAGCACATTTGTCAGCAGGAAGACGAAAGATTTCTACCCAAGGGCCATCACGAAGAAAATCACGGAAAGAGTCCCAGTCAGCTTTAAGGTAGTTGTATGTGGTACGATGATAGGGGGATTCTGATGAAGTAGAAGTATTTGATAATAGTTTTAGAGAGATCAAACCGTGATCAGAAGTACCTGAGGGTGAATGTGGAGAAATTGAGCACTGACTAGGATCCAAAACAAGACATAAGTCGAGTAGAGAAGGTAAATGATTTGGGTTGTCTGGAAAACGATTTGGAAAGTTGAATATTTGAGTTAGAGATTGAGAGAGGCAAAAGTTGAGGGCCTTAACGCCAGCAGAGTCACTGACACTAGAGCCAAGCCAATCGGTGTGATGGGCATTAAAGTCACCAACAACGACGATATTGGCCGATGGATAAAGAGAGAGGGCTTGGTCAATTTGATCAGAAATAACATCAAGAATAGTGCAATCTTGGGATGAAGGAGAGTGATATAGAACAAAGAAAAAGGCGATAGAGTGAAGTTGTGCTAAACGAAAGCACATAAATGAATAATCTGTCGATTAAAACCTAGTTTCACGACAAATGGGTGAGTTCTTACGAATGTAGATGCCCAGGCCAAGCATGTGATTATTGGAGTCTTTACGAATTAAAGGAAGATAACCATTAACACTAAGATCACAAGATGGGACAGCCGAACTCAAATTAGTCTCACAAAGAGCAAGTAGGTCTGGTGAACTTTGCAAGAGGTAAGACTCAACAGAAGAAAAGTTACTTTGAAGACCACGAATATTGGTAAATGGTTTAGAGAACTTGGTGAAGACGATGGTTTTTTGTGTTTTTTAGTTTTAGGTACTTTAGTCATTTTAAATTTATAAAGAACTTGACTCAAGTATAGATAGTACTCAGTACACTATTTAACAACTAAGCAATAGCCTCATTACTATTAATAAACCCTAAACCGTAACAAAGGGCTCCAAATGTGGCCTCTGCAATGCACACCAAAAGTACAAACAGGGACACCATCCATGCGCAACATGGCACTGTTAGTACTCTGATAATTTTCGGCTGTTGATGGAATCAGCCTCTCTGAGAGCTACCACAGAGTTCGGGAAACCTGACTACCAGCCGGCCTCAGAACCATAAAACTGAGT